AGTACAGACTAGTCTGTACTCACCCCTGAAGATGTGAATTACACGAAAGCGCCTGAGAACTTCGTGTTTTTTTTCTTGCATATATATATATATATATATATATATATATATATATATATATATATATATATATATATATATATATATATATATATATATATATATATATATATATATATATATATATATATATATATATATCCTTCGAGGTCTTGGTGGGTGTCATTTGGGTCTTGAGTCACTTTCTCCATAACATGTATATGGAAATAGAGTAAAGTTGTTGATGGATAGAATGATGAATTCATTTCTCATGATTTCATTTCATTATTCACAGAAGTGTGCCAGCTAACGACATAATTGAGAAAACACGTAAACATTCTTACATGCAACAAAGGAATATTATAAACTTATATATCAAGGGATGACGTTGAAGGAAACACAGAAAAGGCATTACCTATTGTTGTGTGGGACAATAAGGAAACAATGCGGACACCATAGTAGAGGGGTTGATAGTTTACGTTTTGGGAACCATGCAAATTTTAACGTTTGCGATACGTTTGCTTTAAGATTCGTCTAAAAGAGTTATCACACTACCGAATAATATGATGAAAATTTTTGTGTCTAAAGGTTATAGCAAACCTTTTTTGTCAAAAAACAATTTAATAGATTTGCAGTTTGAGAGAAATTTAAAGGATAGGAACTAGAGAGAACACAAAGACAAGAAACTCTCCTTAAAAGAAGTACATATATTTGTGGATAACAATGAAACAAAAATTATTCCCTGAGATGCAAAGAAAAGTTTCCAACAAAATCAGAGATTAAACACCAGACGGTGATGCACCAGGTAATTACATACAAACAAAGTGGGAAGCTCAACACAAGATATTGTGACACTTTCATTAATACTACCAGAGAGTATTTCAGGTAAGACACTACACGCACACACTAATATAACCGCATCTTGAGTGACACTTTCCGCTACGAAGTCACAGGAGACCCAGACATTACACAAGAACTATAAGCAAACTTTAGCCATATCTCTAATGACCTTACAATTAACACCCAATATACTAAAACTGAGAAGAAGGTGAGTGACATGGCGGGGTAGTGAGAGAAGAGCAACACACCACAGCCCTGAGGATGAGTCACCAGAAGCCTTCATCGTCTCACAATTAAAAACAAATGCACTGATTATCCTGGAAGGTAAAACTCCTTTGTGTTAACGAAAGTTTAGAGAATAATCTACTGTATGTAGTGGTTAAGATGCACCCACGACTATCACAGTCACTCGGCTTAAGTGACATGCGATGCAAGATTTTTACATTTATTTCCTTGGTGCAGCGTGACTCATAGGTGTAGTATTGAACGTGTGAACAGGTCTACTACACTACGATATATATATATATATATATATATATATATATATATATATATATATATATATATATATATATATATAATCAACAACCTCACCCCGCCAGGACTCGAACCCACGATCTTATGTGTGTGACCGGGTAACGTTATCTCTAGACCACAATGGAAACGTGGATAAGATAAACCATGAAATAATCACACAGGAAAAGGACAACAATGGAGCACCTTCGCTTTCGTCTTTATTCAAGACAAAAATAAAAAAAACTAACCATACCAAAAGACTCCGAAACGAGGGTAAGAATATCTAACTTGTTAAGTGGTAAAACTCTCTCTAATTGTCCCCTCGTGTAGTGCTGATGGTCGTGAAGTCATGACCCCGATAGATAGTAAAGAAAAATGTCTTTCTAGTAGGCGGAGCTCATGTCACTCGAACTGTCAGCGGCGTCCACCAATGAATAGGTCACGTCATTATCTTATCTAACTTTCAATTGGTTGTCTTGGAGGCTGATTACCTCCTTCTGGCAGTAAATTATCTCCCAGTCCATCTTCTCGAACTCTAAAAGCTATAATTATCTCCGCGGAGACTGGTCGGTCTGTGATGAATTCGAGTTTATTATCTTTTACATTGTCGAGACATACGAGTAACCAATATATCTAAAAACTATTTCTTTAGAATTTATAAAAAAAAACCCGCATAGTTAAAATTTATGACATATACTATGCAATTATATCATCTCATCTCTAAATAAAGAGAGTTACTAGCCTGACCTTAAAGACATTTGGAATTGTGGAGATGAAACTAGGAGGAAGAGTTACAGCACCAATAGTAAGGGCCAAAGGTCATCAGTGGGACAAGGAGAAGCCTCAAGTCCAACCTCAGCCAATCACAGCTCTATTCTGTGATCTCACCTGTTGCATTACGTTCACTATCGAGTTTGTCTTCATTTTGTTGGATTGTCTCATCAGGGAATAAAAATGATTTGAAAATGAAGGATAAATTCACAGGTACGTTGAGAACTAGAGATAAATAAACAGACAAATAATGGAAAAATGAATAGCTACACAGATCTGTAGAAACAGACTACCTGAACAGGTGTCTAAATCATTTTTTGAACTTTGTACGACTGAATAATCACTAAATAGATCAAAATTTCCTGTACAATTAACAATGTGTTCTATATGAAGCTTCATGCATGTTTATCTAGAATTCTAGATCATGCTTGGGCAACCCGCTGCCTGAATCATGTCTTTGTGTGGCCTGCAGAGTGATTGAGAAGGTATATTCAATGTGGCCCGCGGTTCAGATAGATCCTTTGGAGTTACCAGAGTAGTTCGTGAGCACGGATACATACCAACATTCAAAGTCCAGGGTCAAGTCTATCACAAAGCAGGATCCCTCTTACCACTGGAAGATGAGCAGGCAAAGTTCCTCCAAATCTGCTTCATGGGAGATCATGAAAAGCAGACTACTATCAGGTGTGGCAATATTTAAGGTGTCAGACATGAGATTGTTCTATCTATCCAAGAAATGCTGCATGAGCGCAACACGTATGTACAGTCATTTGAAAATGACCCGGAAAACATGCCTTCTGACGAGTACAAAGTCAAGATCAAAGCAGACACGACCCCTGAGGGAGAACATGAAAGAAGATTCAATGCTCCTGTAGTTGATGAAGTAGTCATCCTCATTGTCGGTCAAGAGTTTGAGAAACGAGACATCATACTCAAAATGAGAGACGAGTCGCTCATAAGAAGAAGATGATGCCACATGTACTGGAAGCTACAATACTGACAGGAAAAGCTAAAGAAGAGTTCTGGTGCCCTTATTATAGAATGGATATCAATTCACAAGAGTCGGTGCAGCGAAGAATAACGAAAATGATTCCGGGTCTTAGAAACCTTCCATATCAGGATAGGTTAAAGAAACTAAACTTGCATTCCCTAGAAAGACGAAGAGTGCGGGGAGATATGATAGAAGTATTTAAGTGGGTGAAAGGAATCAATAAAGGGGATATAGATAAAGTTCTTATAATATCCGAGCAGGATAGGACTCGAAGCAACGGATTTAAGTTGGATAAATTTAGGTTTAGGAGGGAGATAGGAAGGAACGGGTTCACAAATAGGGTGATGGACGAGTGGAACAAGCTTAGCAACTATGTAGTGAGTGCTGGAACACTGGAAAGTTTCAAAAGGAGACTGGATAGATTCATGGATGATAGAGAGTGGTAGTAACTCTCGACA